CCTATAAAATGATGATTAAATATATAAAAACTAGATATATCTTTTAAAAACTATGAAAATCTCCCATTCACCAATATATATATATATTTTATATAATATATATGGAACTATTATACATCTCTTAGTTTTTCACACTGGGACATTAAAATTATAAAAACAATAAATTCAATACCAAAAAGCCAGTTTTCCTCCTGAAATTCAAATTTTCGACAAACTATGTTTTTGACTTTAGTCCTTTCAAGTCATGAAAAAACTTTAGACTGAATAATCTAAGTTGACAGTCCTCAAAAGAAAAGCACTGTTAAAACTTCTCTTTTTTTCCTTTTATTGAAAACTTTTTATTTTTATATACATTGAATATCTAATTATTTTCTCTAACAAGAAAATGAAATATGATTATTTGAAAAACTCTGTTTCAATTTATATACAGGAAATTGTTCAGATTTAAAATTATGAATGAATTTCTTATTTGGAATTTTTAATCCACTAAAAAATATTTCCGTTAAAATTTGTAAACAATCATTAAAATAAATTCATTTGTTTTAGTATTTTTTTTTGACTATGTATATTGTTTTTCAAACAATTCTTTTTATAAAAAAAAATTTTTTTTATGAAATAAAAAACCACTTTTTTTAAATTAGATGTAATCTTTTTTTTTTCAATATTTTTTATTCTGAGTATTATTTAAATGAATATTTTATTTTGGGGAATTTTATTTAATTCTGTCTAAAAAAAAAAAAAAAAAATTTTTAACACAAATTTGTTAATTAAATAAAAGAGATAAGATTTATTCTAAAGAAAATCCCATTGAACAGTTTCAGGCACAAGTTTAAAGTGAATAATAATTTAACCAATTCTAAACAATCAAATTGAAAATTAAATTTGACTTTAAATATAATTGTTTTAAAACAATTTTTTATTCCTACATTACTTAATTGTCATTTTTATTTTGTTTTTAATCCAATTTCATTGACAAAAAAAAAAATAATATCGTTTATTGAATCTCATTTCATCAACTCATTTCAAACATTGTACAAACAGAAAATAAATTGACAAAACTTACACTTTTCAAAGATTTTTTTTTTTTAATTTTATTAAGTTGAAACTATAATAATAAACAAATACCAACATTTTAAACAACAAATTTTATATAAAAACTAGGTTTTAATTTAAAAATCAAAATTTTTTCAACATCATGCAATCAGTAAAAATAATACTATTAAATGTACAAAAATATTAACACAAACAAAACTTTGTTTTGACACCTTCATAATTGAGAACAACACCACATTTCAGACACAGATTTAGACGTTACTTATTTACATTTAGGTACAAAGTTGTTGTTTTTATTGATTTCAAAAACACGCACTGGGAACACACAACTAAATTGAATTTTTTTTTCAATGAAAGAATTAAATTTTCTTTTTTTTTCATCAACGATTTTTAGTTGCATGGAATCAGTTTAACTTTTTAGAAAAATTGACATTCTATAAGTTTTTCAAAATTTAAATAAAAATTTTCATTTAAAGAAATTAGATATCATTGGGTCAAAATTTAAATCATTTTTAAAAAATAATCTTGGACAAAAAAAATAATGATAAACTTTAAAGAAATGATATCTATATATATTTATATATATACAAATTTTAAAAGAAAAAAAATATTGACAAATGATTGAAATTAAAATGATGTTATAAATTTTAAATTTGATTTTTTAATTTCATCTTATATAAATCTTACATTTGCATTGTTTCATTTTATTAAAAAAAAATAAGGCAATTTAACTTTAATTTCTTGGATTATCTGACTATGATGAAAAAAAAATTTACTTCAAGCAATTCAAAACATTCATTTTTATTCTTCTTATTCATGGCTTTTTTTTTAATTAAATCATTACAATAATTTAAATGAATTATGCATCTAAATTTGATAAAATTTTTAAATTTTGTAAATATTTAAATGTTTCTCTTTTTATTAAAAAAAAAAAAGGAATTATAATGATTAAATAAATTAACCTGATAAATAAAATCTTAAAAAAAAAAAAATGAAAAAAAAAAAAAATAAATTTAATTAAATACAAAATATATGAACAAATTTTGTTAATAAATATATAAATTTATCAAAAAATTTTGACCCTTTTTTAAAAATGGTTAAAAGTACATTTTTATGAAATGATAGGTTAATATTACAAAAGAAATTTTTATAGAAAACATAAACATAGAATTTTGAGAATTTTTCAAAGTGAGTTTGTTATGGAACAGATAATGAAAAACTGAACAGTTTTTTTAAATTGTTCTCTTTATACATTAGGAAAATTAAGAATGCCTAATCTTAATTTTTAAAAAATAACATTGACCAGAATAAATTTCACAAGATATTTCTCAGAGAAGAGAACTGAAATGAATACAAAAAAACAGGTTTTCTATCCTATATATTATGAATAAATGGATATGAAAAATTTGAAGAATAAATAACTTGAAGCAAAAAAATATTAATTACAAAAATTTTGAAACAAAAGCATAGAAAAATGTGAAAACAATAAGAACATAAAAAACTCCTGAAAAGACGACATTATATTGTGATCAGAAAAAATATGAAATAAATTTCATATAATAGGATCTATTTAAGAAATTGACAAAAACAGGGCAAATTAAAATGCAATTTGAAAAAAACAAACATTTATTTATACAAATCTATTGATTGGACACAAGAACAAATTTTAGAAAAATATATTTAATAAAAAAAAGTGGACTCAAATTATAATAACTAAATGCTGACCCACAAAAAATTTTATCCAAATCCATTAATTTTCAATTTAAAAATCTATTTTCTTAGGATTTATGAAAAGAAAGATCCCTAACCAAAAAAAAAAATTATGGAAAAACTGTATTTAAATAAAGTAAGGATGGATTAAAACTGGTCTACAGAAAAAAAAAAAATAAAAAAGAATAAAAAAAAAATTTTCACTAACATATAACTTTTAATTATATTAAAAATGTTTATCATTTTGGCAAAAAAAAATATAGCAAAAAGATAAACATAGGATATTGAGTCTTACCAGAATTTTATTTTATGAAAAAAATTTCACTAAATCCTAAAGACTCAAAAAAAAAATAACTCAAAAAAATTTTTGTATATTTTAAATAATTTTTTAATGTATAGAGCACTAAAAGCTAAATGTTTTATTTGAAATATATGAAAATCAAGAATTTTTAGGAAATATGATTTCATCTTAAAAAATAGAATTTTAATCAATTAATTAATTTATTTTATCTAGGAAATTAACAAAAATTTTTTTGTTGAATAAATTTAATAAAATAAGACTGTGATAGACAGAAGGGCATTAGATAGTTTTTATTTAAACTTCTTATTTTCAAATATATGAAAGTTTCTATGTTATTAGAAAGAAAAATTAAGCAATTTTATAAAAAAATTTGTGAATTCTTAAATAAAAAAGTTTTTTTTCCTTTTTGGAAGAAAGATATTTAAAAATTTTGTGCTATTCAAAATCAGTGGATGATCCAGAAAAAAACATTTTTGTGGTTTCTTTAAATAATATTGACAGTATCTTTGTAATTTTAAACCAAAAAATTTTGACCTGTGGCCAATTCAATGTTATACAAAATTCAGAAACATATTTTTTTTTTTAGAAAATGAAAAAGTTCTTGGACAATTTGAATATTCACAATTTCTTTTTGAAAATATAATGTATATGTAAAAAGAAAAATATCTCCAAAATAATTAATGGGAAGAAGAAATGAATTTTTTTTTAAAGTTATTTGCATGGGTTTGAAAAATGAATGATTAAATTTAACTGGAATAGAATGTCTTTGAGAATTTTTTTTTTATTGTTTAATGATTTTTTCCCTTATTTTCATTTTCAAAATATTTCCTTTGTGGGTCCCAAACAAAATGCTGAAAATTTAAAATTATAAATTATAATGCAGGAAACTCGGAAAGTTAATTATTTTTTAAAATTTAAAATATTTTGTTTTTTGAATTTAATTTTAGTTTACTGATTTAAATTATATTTTATAAAACCAAAAGACTTTCCCTTGTTGGAGTAATGGATAGCAGCTTGGATTGAGGAATTGGAGAGCCAAGTTCAAATTCAGTTGAATCCATTACATTCATTTATAAGACTAATACCCTTGGGAAAGGTATGAATCCTCTCTTCTCCCCCAAGCTATGGGTAAATAGCAGGACAGAACCGGGTTCTATAGCCTTGGATAGCAACTGGTCTACCACAGAAAGAAATGGCTGTCCCTAAAGAGTGTATCACACATGACACATAACTGACTAACTGTTGCTTACTAGCACCATCCATGGAATTTTCAGTATCCTTTTGTAGAACCACACCTCTGCTGCCTCTAGTTTTTTTCTTTATCTGTAGGGACATTGTCCAACATTCATTGCCATATAAGAGGATGGATATCACATAGCAACCCAGCACTATTTTCTTTGTTTCTAACAAAATTTTTCTGTTTCTCAGCACCTTGCTTAGCTTTTGGAATGATTTTTTCATTAGGCCAATGCATATTGAAATCTCCATGACACATTTCCCATCCTCTGTAAAAACACTTCCCAGATATTTGTACTTCTACACCAGCTTGATGTTTGTACCCCCAATTGGTAACTCACATCTTGGGTTTTTTCTCTTTTGGATGACCACACTTTCTGTTTTCTTGCAGTTAATGGTTCCTACTTTTTTTTTTCTCACTTTATTCTACCACCCTGTTTACAAGGTCCTGTAGTTTCCTTTCCAAGTCAGCCATCAAAAAAAAGAAAAAAAATTAAAGAAAACCGCTATTCTTTAAACATCATAGAGAACGATTTTTACTCTCCATCAGCATGGCTGATGCTAACCTCCAGAAGAGCAATTCATTGTGCTCAAGAGTATTTGCTCCTAAGTGAATATAACAAACCTGAATGTGATTGGAACACAGCTCTCCAATTTCCGATTCCAAGCCATTATCCATTGCCCAACCCACATATCCAAGCTTACAGCACCTAGTATTCCCAAGCAGTCACCCATCTTGGTACTGACCAAGCTCAATGTTGCTTAACTTCAGTGATCATACAAGAATCAGTATTTCAACATGATATGACTGTAAGTTGATATATTTTAAAAGTAAACGAAGCAATTTAAAATTTTGTCAAATTTTCCCATGTAGTTAAAGGACTACCACAGGAAGTCTGCACTATAAATTCGTTAATATATTTTAGGATTAAGTTGAGCAGTTTAATAAACATATAAATAAAAAGATAAATAAAAGATAAATTCATTTAATATTCTCAGTGTTTCATCAAATCAATTTGTAAACCAGAAGTTTTTTTTTAATCATTTCACCCCAAGCAAAGCGTTAATGCCACTAGGATGCAGATGGCTACAGGGAGTGAAAGAGAATGAGAAGACTTTAGTGAGGAGAAGTGAGGAAAAGGAGAATAAAGGAACAGGATTCAGAAAGATGGAAGATGGCAATAAAGACCCTAAGATGCAAAGGGTTACTAGGAGTGAAAGAGGAAGAGACTTTATTGAGAAGTGTGAAAAAGGACAATAAAGGAACAAATTTCAGAAAGACAGAAGATGGCAATAAAGCCCCTAAGATGCAAAGAGCTAGTGAAAGAGAAAGAGAGGACTTTACTGAGGAGAAGTGTGAAAAAGGACAATAAAGGAACAGATTTCAGAAAGACATAAGATGGCAATAAAGCCCCTAAGATGCAAAGGGTTACTGGGAGTGCAAGAGAATGACAAGACTTTATTGAGGAAAAGTGAGTAAAAGGATAAAAGAACAGAATTCAGGAGGACAGATGGTGATAATGCCACTAAGATGTAAGGCCTTACTAGGAGTGAAAATGAATGAGAAGACTTTAGGAAAATGAAAATGAGGAAAAGGACAAAGAAACAAGATTCAGGAAGACAGAAGATGGTGATAATGCCACTAAGATGCAAGGAGTTACTGGGAGTGAAAGAGAATGAAAAGACTTTAGTGGGGAGACATGAAGAAAAGGACAATAAAGGAACAGGATCCAGGAAGACAGAAGGTGGCAATTTTTGTAGATGACAGCAGAGCAAGAAATCAGGTGTTCCATAGGTAAGACATGCAAGAAAAGAAACTATTAGAATAGAACATAGGGTTGCATCTAGCCCATTTAACAGTAAAACGGTGAGACCTAGTTGCCAATCAAGCAGCACGCCTAAATTCATGCAGTCAAGGAACTAAGGAGAAAAGTTCATCAGAACAACTTCTGTGAAAATATCTGTGAAAAAGATAAAAGGGAAGCCATGTCACATTGGTGAGAAAGTGACTGTAATCAAGATGCTAGGTCAGGATCGATTACATTATTTTTGTTTAAAAATTTTTTAATGTCAGGTCCTTTCAGGCCATAGGCAACCATGATTCTCCACAGCTTCCATTTTTATCATTTATCAATTAACACTTATTCGTAAGAAATATATTGGAGCAGTTTCCTATTGCATTCTTCACTATTTGGAATTCGAAGTTTTTCATTTTCTAAGACTGGTTACCACTCAAAACTAGAGAGCCCAGTCTACCCTGCTATCAACTTGCTGATTAAAAGGGGAAGGAGTGAAGAAGAAGATCATTACCTCATTTGCTGGTGTCGGTGATCTTAGGACAGTTATTTTTTAGGTTACTTCGTCAGTTGCAACATTGAAACAGATATCAAGTAAGAATGAAGTTTCTGTGTGAATTTCTGGGATGAGAAATTTACAATATTTACATTAAGACTATTGTACTCATCTTTGTTGTTGTTATCACAACAGTTTGGCTATTTTGCCTTCATTAGGTATATAACAATTTGGGTAACCTACAGGAAATTCCAAACTGAGCCTTTTATTTAATCTATGGGGGTAGACTGTTATCATTCCACTGCCTATGTCTAGGAATATCTTGTCTAGTTTTTAGTACTTCTCAGTTATTGCTCAGCTGTTTCCACTGAGTCCAAGTACACACTGTTCCACTTCCCATGTCTTGGGATATCTTGTTTAGTTCTTATTTTTAGTACTTCTCAGTTATTTCTCTCCTGTTTCCACTGATTCCAAGTACACACTGTTCCATTGCCCATGTCTAGGGATATCTCATCTAGTCCTTATTTTTATTACTGCTCAGTTATTGCTTGCCCATTTCCACTGAGTCAAAGTACACACTGCTCCACTGCCCATGTCTTGGGATATCTCATCTAGTTCTTATTTTTAGTACTGCTCAGTTATTGCTTGCCCGTTTCCACTGAGTCCATATACACACTACCCAGATCAGGGATTGAACTCACATTTACTAAAATGACGTGTTGAAACTCAAAATAAAAGTAAACACCTTTTTAGGTATATTAATTTGAGATCTGGGGTGAACTAAAGTTCCAACAGGTACAGGGTTGAGAGAACACCCATTCATCACAATAAGTGAAAATTTAGGGTCTATTTGGTGATGATGGAACATAATTAGTTTAGTTTTATATGGATTGAAAGGGGCAGGAGTGAAGAACAACAACATTGTTATTTCATCTTCAGTTGGAATGACCTGTTACTAGTTTATATACACCTGATGCTATTATGAGGGCAATATTTTTGATGTTAACAACATTTGAGGACATTTTGAATATAAATTAACTCATTATGGCAGATACCAAATAAAATGAAGTTTTTTAATTTTTATATGAGAGGGATGATAAATTTAAATAATGAGTTTATTTACATTCAGACTAATATCCTCATCTTTGTTTTTATTATCACCTGATCACCTTCTATCTGAATTTCTGGGATGAAGTGTTATCATTATTTACACATTTATATCAGAATATTATCTTTATCTAGATGGAGAACCAAAATGGATTTACTGTTTGAAGGAAAACATTAGGGTAAAATATAAATATATAATAAGCTAATCAATTTGAACCTGTGCAACTAAAGTCCATTTGAATCTGATGATAACCATCATGTATGCACAGCATAGCCAAAGGGCAGACAACTAATAATAATTATTTTGGGTGAAGGATGTTTTGTAACTAGTATTTTATTCATGATATTCCAATGCTTTCTTCTTTTAGATGCAAGAATTTCAAACATGTCAAGATTCTGTTCAAATCTTACAGATATTCACTGTCTAGTTTTGGAGTGATTTGATTTTCTGCATTGTAATAACATGGTTTTACAAAACTTAAACATTTAAACCTCTTGAAAAATGGCAACCAAATGAGATTATTTATGAATTAATATTTAATTTTAAGAGAAGATGGTAACTTTGAGCCATGAAACACTAAATTTTGAAAATAAAAGAATCCATGTTTTTACGGTTACAGACCTAAAAACCAATATTAAATTTAAAATGTACTAATGTTAAGACATTGACAAATGAACAAAGAAACTGTTCTTGATCCTAATTAAGAATCTTTTTATGCATTTGTAACATATCCAGACATTTTGAATTAAAAATTAGGGTTGTACAGTCTTGATGTGTTTGGTAACCAAGCAGGAATGATATTACTATACAGATAGCTAAACAGAACTCACCCCTCTTAAAGTTCAGTTTTGAAGTGAAACTGCACTGAATCTTATCTTATGCACTGTATGTCCATTTTTCAAGGACCAGAAAACCAATTCTTCACATCTTGTATTTAACCAAAATGGATTCCTGCCTTTTTCAAGGATATCAGTACAAAGTTAACAAGAAAAAAATTTGGTTTTGGCATTTTTTGTAATTCCATAAAGATAAAATTTTTTGCCATTACTAATAAACTGTTACATTATCCATGCATATCCTGATGACAATCCCAAAAGAGGATTTAAGACTGTTATGAGAATGGAAGAATACTTGGATATTTATTACATCCCAGGAAAATGTTTTGAAAAATATTTTCTAGGTCTGTCAATGCTTTTGAGTGTGTATTCAGAATTTAAAATTTAAAAATAAAACCATTTACATGGAGTTCAGGAGGAATGTTAGTATTTTGGGATTTTTACAAAACTGATCTGGTAAGTGACAGAATATACCTAACCTCAAAAAACCAGGAGGTAAAAGGCACCCATACGATATATATATATATAAAACCAGTATATATAAAGGCACCCAAGGAAGATACCAGACCTCCACAAAACCAGTCTGGTAAATTTGTCACAGCTGGAAGATGCTACCTTCAGCAAACCAGTCTCCAGAGTTTTACCGAAGGAAGATACCATCCCTCTTCAAAACCAATCTAATATATGGTACACAAATATATATATCCATATATAATATATATACCTATGATCCAGCCAATCCTTTAATCCAGTATCATTTAAATTTTGCTGGATTATTTACAGTCAAATAAATTACATTTTAGGCATGTGTTATTAAACATTCTATGATGTCCAAAGTGAAAAGCAAAATCTGTATTTATTGTTGAATATTAATCTTGTAATTAAAATCAAATGATGCAAGAAAACCAAATTTTAAAACTAATTTCCAAATCATTATTAAGATCAAAACAAAACCCCAGAAACTAACAAAACTATTTAGCTATTTTTTATATTTTTTTTTTTTTTTTTGTGTTCAAAATGCAATAAACTATCAAGCAATTTGAGGCAATATATTCCTTTTTCATGTTCTAAAAATTTGACGGGAATATTTTAACATGAATCCACTTGCATTTAAATGCAAAAACAACACACACATCAGTAATTTTCTATAAATATGGGAATCTTTGTTGTAGATGTCCCACAATGATTGAATGGTCAGGTTGCATAAGTTTTAATGAACACCTTGATAACAAAGTCCTAAAATCCAAATATATTTGTTTTCTGTTTTGAGGACATAGGTGGAAATAAGGACAGGAGAACTTAAAAAAATAATGTTGGTCACCTTAATACATCTGTTTTGGTGATACAAAAGAAAAAAAAAATTAAAGATAAAAACAAAACTTTTGTATAATATATGATTACTCACATATTTTTTATTGGGAATGATAGATATATAAATACAAATAAGGTTTTTAAGATTTTTCACCCTGTTTGTAGTTAGCATGCATCTGGTTACTCTTAAGAGACAATATTTTAGGGTGAGCAACAGGAAAGATCTGTTCAAATGTTGATATGGATGACTGATTATTCATTTATAA